AGCGGCGCAACGGCTAAACTTGTTTTTTTCGCAGCGGCGGCTCCCCAAAAATTCTTAAAATTACCAGCAATTTGGTGGCGGCGGCTGCTGATATTATAGAAAACTCGGCTACTGCGGCGGCTCAGCTGCACGGCTGACACCTCTACTTCACGAATATAGGCCATTCTAATTACCAAAGTCTTCTCTATATGTCACGGGCTCTCGTGATCATGAAATAGGCATACGGAGATGTCTTTAGCATTAGAAATATAATATTAATATCTTGTGAAATGTCAACATGACAAAAGAATTTGTTGAGTGCTTGTATCTACTGAATATATTTTTATTTTCTTGTCAAGGGAAGATGACATGTGAATTACCGCTTCAGTACATACGAGTTAATTGCAGACACATTAGTTTTTACTATAAAGATTTATTGTCGAACGTATCGACAAGAAAAAAGATTAGCGCAGTATCTGACAGAATGATGGTATTTCATAAGGAGCAATTAATTTTGTTCAGGATAATACAACACTTACCATTAGCACGTTTATACATTGTTTGATACATAGATTTATATGGTTTAACTAAAGATTTCAATTGAATAACAGGTGCCTTTTTTGTTTCATTCGTATTTTTATTATTTGACTGATTTCCGATATGTTCAACAACAACTTCAGCTTTATTTGATCGAGCATGAAAGGCTGCTACATTCGGTGTACTTGCTTGAGTAATAGTCGCTGGACGTACTGGAGTACGTACTGTTGGTGCCACCTTTGCAGTCGATGAATAACTTGATTGTTGTATTTGTAGTGGTATTGCGGTAGCCGCACGACGTGAATTCTATCACAAAAATAGAACGCAATAGAGTTAGATTACATTTTATTCAACTCACTATCATATCTGTTGTTGAGTAACTATCAAGAAGACCAGCAAGCGCATCCATCGCAATACCTGACGGTTGCATTGGCTTTTTCACAGGAGATACAGTATTCTCCTGTTCAATGTTATCATCAGCATCCATATCGAAATCTTCCATGATTATTTATCTAAAATTAGTCATTGATAAAAATCGATAAGGAACTGTTGTTGCATCAAATGATGAAATCAATAGAATATAGAGAGATTCTTCTGAGCCATTTATCTTGATAGTATCACGAAGATTTGAAGAACTAATAATAATTTCCTTTCAATTTCAATAAATTGAAACTATTTTTCGACTAATTTATTTTCACGAACTGCTTCTCTTGCCGGTTTTATCTGTTGAATAATTCAATCTCAAGGATTCTAAAAGATATTCGAGCTTTTGCTTGACACGAAAGTTACCATTACTATACAGACTACGGTGAATCATAAATTTTGTACAAGCTTTCTAATATAACAATTAGTTTGATCGCACATAAGAAAAAAAAGAGATTCACATCAAACTTTATCAAGTAATCTTGTATGATTTATTTTACATGTGTAAATAATTCAACGATCAAATGTTGTACAATTTTAACTACGTACTTTAAATCATATAATATAATCGGATATGTTCTCTTCTCTCTGCATCTTCATAAAATTTACTTTCATGATCCTCTGAGAATTGCGCCACAAATGCATTAAAAAATGCTTTAAAAAAATGACGCTGCGAGTAGGATTTGAACCTACGCGGGAGAACCCATCTGATGACTCGCAAAGCAACACCTAAGCATGTTTCGAGTCAGACGCCATAACCGCTCGGCCATCACAGCTGAGTTTTTAATAATTCATCAAAAATAAAATAATTCCAAGGTTACTTCGTGGTCTTATTCTTTGTGGTCACAAAACAGAATAGAATATCAAAAGAATGAGTTATAATATACTCGATATGAAGGCGGCTCAAGGAATTGATAGAAATTACTGTGGCTTATAGGAGGAATCTTTTAACCAGTATCAAATTGAACTTCGTATCTCTACAAGTATGGAGCGATTGATACTGAGAGATATCAGAAAGTGAACACAAGATCAAAATAATGACCCTACAATAAAACTCATTTGTGAATTTTATTGATGGATGCTCTATTCGGATTCTTGTTAATAGAAATCCTAATAGTGAGATTGAGCCATTTATTTAGTTACTACAAGCCGATTATTGTCCTTCTTTTACAGACATGCAACAATTTCCAATCTCTCTTCTCGGAATTTTAATTGCCTTCAATGGATTTTTCCTCATTTGAGATTGCACTAAACAGTAGTCCTCCTATTTCAGATACTTCTACTCGAAATGCATGGTTTCAAACTTATTCACAATTCAGTGTGTTCGTCTTTTTTCGTTTGACGCGCAAGTCTATCCTAAACTATTACTATATGAACTATTCAAATTCTTCAGTATTATCCTGCATTCACATAGCCGACTTAATTATGTTAGACGATGGTTTCTCATTCTAAAATTCTGACTTAGACATTTAGCAGATATCTTGAATAGCAGTGAAAATATTTCCTCTTCAACTATAAAACATAATGAAAGTGACTGAAAACTATAACTATTATCTTTTCTTTTCAGTAAACAGATCTTTCATATATATTATATTTTTTGTTTCCTCTCCTAATATACGTATATATAATGTGATATAAACACTCTCACTCGCTCCTAAACAAAGACAAGTTCTATTACATGAAACAGTATTTTTAATAGGATTTCGAAGCACAGTGTACATGTACACCCTACTAAGCCAAAAATTTTATTTTCAGAGTGTACTTCATAGGAAAACAAAGTGTATTCTGAAAAAAAAGAGTGTACGTACACTTTGTTCTGCTGGGCTAGACTAATCATTAAAAACACTGTACATGAAATAAGCTAATGTACATTCCTACCAAATTAAAGTAAATATGTTTTGTTAAATTACGTCACAACATCTTGCAGCTATTTTGTTTTTCAATATTAAACAAAAATGAATATCTCGTACTGTATAAATTTTAGACAAAAGAAAGTGTTAAATATATCCATTATATATATTCGATCCATTTCATTGGTTCGATTTCGAACGAATTGTTTACACCAATTGTTTTCTTTTGTTCTTTTAAAACGAAAAAATTCTGTTCTATTCAGTGGTTTCTATATTGTAATGACAACCATGTGGCTTAAATCAAATCTAATTAATATACTAGTTGAATTAGTTATCTATTTAATCATCGATAACATAACGAAATGTATTGTTGCTCAAAAAAAGTACGTTATTTTTTGTTTTTTATCTATTCAAAGAAAGAAAAAAATAATTCTTGTTTAGAAAAGAAAATCATTTTGATATATTGCTATATGAATGTTTATTTCTTGGTTTTTTAATTGGTTTTATATCATTCTATTATCATGTTCCATATGTACTTGTATGTTTTTTATGCTTTCACACTCTTGGAACAATATATTCGGCAAAAGGCTTCACTAAAATTATAGCGACAATTAAAATAATTTTTCAACTGTTGGGAAGATTAATAAAATATTTATGTATTAAAATTGCCAATTTGTTTTCTCGAAGTTCATCTTTGAAAACATTAGAACAAAATAAAATCCCCAAACAATATAAATATAATTTTCATCTTAAACCAACAAATGATATGCGACTTCAACAGGTATAAATTTATTCGAGAGTTTTTGTTTTTCTATGCTTCATTCTTTTTGTTTTTATTCATAGTCATCATTCACTCAAACATTACCAAGACCAGGCATTATTAATTTGTATGGCACAACATGTTCATTAAACTCGCTATTACAAAGTTTAGCATCACTCAATAAGTTTTATTCATCATTACAACATAATATAAATGTAAGAAAAAATGCAATTTATTATCAAAATTTTTAAATTCACTACTCTTAACTTCTTTTAATTGAAATTAATAACAAAAATTTAACTAGAAGATTTCAGAGGCAGAATTTTGTTACCCTACCGTACGAATCGTGTTTCTCATTCTAAATCATAGTATCGTGACTTTTTGAAACTTCAAATGAACAAAATTTTGTTACCAATCTTCAAAAATTTTTTCGTTCGGTTCGATATTCGTTCTTTCTGATACAAACTATAATTTCTAATAGCTCAACCATATTATATGTAGTATTTTTGTTTTTTCAATCAAATCTCTTTTTTCGAGATGCAAAAACGAAGTCTTTTTTTATGTAATAATTTAGTTATCACGATTTAATTATAATCCAGTTGTGTCTGCATTCCTTCATCTTATTTCTCAATTACGAAATGATCATCGAACATCAGAGTACAAACACTGGAATAAACTCATTGATACATCAACGTTAGTCACGCAATTAAATTCAGTCTATTCGAATTTATTAACACCAAATTCAACAGCGGATATATGTGAACTATTTCAATCTTGTATCGATATACTTAATGATTCTTTATCACAACAATCAACTGTATATGCAACAAAGTAAACTATCTCCTACTCTTCCAAAATATATTTATTTGTTGATCTATTTAGTGTCATTGAACAAGTACAAAATTCGAAATTAACAACATTATCATTTGAAAATCTAAATAAATTATTTTTAGAAATTGAAGAACAAGTAGAAAACGTTATTTTTAATACATCAGAAAAAAATTCGTTGTTTTTCTCGCGTTTAGATTCATGAAAAAATAACATTAGATGATCTCGATTCTCAAACATCAAATATAATTCAGTATGTTGATATTACATGGCTATTACATCATATTCAATTTGGTTCGACAATAAAACACACTTTTTCTGGACAATTACTGCATGCACATTGTTGTAATAAGTAAGTGACAAAGAACTTTTTGTTTCTCAAAATTATTTTATTATTTTAGTTGTTCACATGTTCATTTTCGTGCTGAACCATTTCAAATATTAACACTATCAATCAATCGAGCAAGTCAAACATTAGAAGAAGTTATTGCTACTTTAACAAAAATTGAAATCGTATGTGATCAATTGAATTTGTTCGAAAATAGCTAAATATCTATTTTTCTCCATCTAGATAGAATCAATATCATGCTCGTATTGTACTAGTCAATTGAAAAATGAACAAGACAGAATAATAAAACATGATGCTATTCTTAGTAAAATAACGTATGTTTAAAATATTCATTTGGCTTCCAATGATTCTATTCTTTAATTTTTATAAATATATATATAAGGAGAGTTTTACGGTCGAAGATGCTTTAGAACCGTGGAAGGAAATTGCTGGAAATTAAAGATGAACATAGTTCTTTAGAACAGGATTCAATTAGATGTGAAAAGAAAGTATAACAACCTAAAATAGCTCTTTTTTCGCGCATAAAAAAGAAGAGCAATTGAGACAGTTCCAAATAACCTGCCATTCAATAGAAGAAAGAATTGACACTTGTAGACTGGCGAAAAACATAGTACTCATGATTAATAGAAGTGCTCGCGCGATGCCTATTGACAAGAAAAAATATGCAGTTTTTCATTTTAATATATATCTACGAATAAAAATAAGATTATTAACTATTTCAAATTCAGAAATCTAAGAACGATTCTAATAGAATGATAATACAAACGGGTTCTACTGTTTGTTGTTACGTAGACATATCGAAAATATGTGCATTATAAACGATTAAAGAATGTTTCGCAACGTATGAAAGGATCATTTTTCATCCATAACATCATTGAGTTTCATTATTGAATATGTTGAGAATGCGTCAATAAAAAGCTGATAACACAAATTGTTTGGAATTAACAAGTAAAAAATGGTGTGACTGTAAATCAAGAAAAACTTATCTAGACTTTTGTATTTAGTAAAATATCCTTTTCGCTATCGTTCTAAAGTTTTGAAAAATTCAATTAAAGAAATAGTTCGACGTATTAGAATGAGATAGTAGTGATACGTGTTCTGATGCAAGTTGCTAATCCGCATACTTAAACATTCCTTAATGATCTTATTTCAGAATTGACTCTTGCAGGAGAGAAGAAAAACATCAATATAATTTTCTTTTAGGTCTACTGTATCACCTATTGTTACTTCCCGTCGTCAAATTTCTGATCACATTCTATCTTCAACACCCATATCATGTATGCCATTATTTTTTTCCAAATGAATATACATTTCTATTTGCATTTATTCTAGCTTCTATCACTAATATGATTCCATCAGCTAAAATTCATATTCATCATAGAATAAAAAGTCAAATGATGATTTCCAATTTCCCTGACGTTCTCTGCATTCAATTGAAACGTTTTTCATACGATCGTTTTTCAAATAAAACAATGAAATTAACTACACCGATTATTATCGAACCAGAAAAAAATCTTGATTTATCACCATTTCATTATACAGCATGGCTTGGATTAACGAATCTATCGATTTCATATCATTATCGTTTAGTCGCAGCTTGTTTGCATTTATCAGAAAATTCATCACAAAAACTAAATGGACATTATGTTTGCGTATATCGTACCGACAATAATCAATGGTCTCTAAGTGATGATGAACGTATTGTAGAAATTAATAATATCAATCATTTTTTTCAAACTCCATATGTTACTGAAAATTGTTATTTCTTATTCTATGAAAGATGCTTATGATTCTTATAGAATCTAGTTTTTCTTAGATTTTGTTTTTGATATTTTCCTTTCAGGTGTACATATATCTGTCAATAATAATTATTTTTTCTATAATTATTATAAAACAATAAAATTCACCCGTATTGTTCATATGCATTTTGAAAACGAAAAAATAATAATAAGGAAAGATTTTGTTTTATTTTTAGACCTCATCATGACGATGATATGTATTATTTGTTTTAATAATCATACTGAAGATGATTGTCCAGATTTTGTATCATCATCAAGAATGAATGGAACAGAAAAGAAGCCATCATCATCATTGACTCGGAATCTTTCAAAGTATGAAATAATACAAGATAAAGCAATAACATTGGATTGCAAGTGTAAAGGCACGCACACTTGTCGTATCAGTTATAAAAATTTCCTAAGACAAATAATGAAAACGAATTAGTAAGATCTGCCAAAATATGTTCCATTGATAAATAGTAACAATGTCCAAAAGAGATGAATAGTGCATTTACGAAAGTAAATATTTTCTAGTTTGTAAGATTTCATTCAAACTATGTTTGACTGTCTAATCTGCTAACTATGACTCATTGTATTTAAATACGATCTATGATGTGTCTCATGAATCATGATTCCAAATATTGATTTAAAATAAAAATTTTAAAATAATCCCTAATGTTTTTGTCATGTTCAATAGAGTTTTATTATCATTGCCAACACAAATTCAAATGCACCGCTGTGATGATACGATAACATTTTCGCCAACAATTCGTATATTAAAAACGACTATAATCGGTCCATTTGAAGGTCGTTTTATACCAGAAGATAAATTAACTACAGCACCACGCAATGGATTTCTTGTTAAAGTATTTTCTTTTTGAAAATACACGAAATATTAAATATACAAGTTCTATTTTGTAGATCTTTCGTGAGAATGGTAATAATCTTGTACTTGATGCATCAGATGAACGCAGAAACAATTGGTGTTGTCTAATACCACCGGCAAGAACTTCACAAGAAATAAATTGTTTATTGTTTCAACGAAAATGTAAACTTTATGCAAAAGTTGTTCGAACCATTCTAGCAACAGAATCGTTGAGCATGTAAGTAGAAATTTCTGAGAAATGAAACAAATTCATATTTTTTCCTATTCAGATGGTATTCAAGTAATTATGCTAAAGCTATCGGTATGCCAGAAACACCGGATGGTGGTCCATTAGGTTTGTTGATAAATTTTTATATCAGAATTTTTAAAAAAATTAAAATTTTCTCCCGTTCTCTTCTTTTTTTTTAGCTCTCTACGGTAAAACTGGTCGAATGATTTTTCGATAGTTGTGTGTTTGCTTTTTTGTCATCATCAAATAGATGAATATTTTTGTTTGTGTATATAAAAATAAGAAAAATAAAAGCGAATGATATATGTTTGTTTATTCAAGCAACATTTGAACGTTTCTTTGGCTGTTGTCCGATATGATCTTCTACTCGTTCCCAATATGCACTTTGTATAGTTCGCGTCGGATTTCGATAACGCTATGTATACAAACATTTTTCAATAGAAAATAGATAAAGAAAACAAAATCTTATTTTGATTGATAATATACTTACAGTGTAAGCAGCATATTTATTTGGAAAAACAAGTTTTGGCAAAATTAAGTGTGAATCCCACTTTGGTCTTGCACTTAATACTCGATACATTTCAGGTGTTGGTTTTTCAACAAAAGACACACGCTCATGTTCACGCTCTTGAAGCCATACTTCAATCAAGCAAACTTGACGATTATGAAAACATACAATGACACAAAAACTTACTTGTATTCAAATGATCAGAAAGGAAACGAATTTTAAATGGATCTCGAGTATATCCAGTACCAAATTCTGATAATCCTAATTCTTTGATATCCGGATACTATTTAGTTTTCAAATGAAAAATATTAGATTGATAAAAATCTAACAAGCAAAATATTAATTACCTGTCGAAAATCATGTGGTTTAGGATTAATATATTGTTCTGTATTTAGCATTCGTTTTATTCTATCATATTTTATTTTTCTATCGACTAGAAATAAATCATCATCATCTTTATCATCGTTCGTGCCTAGATTTTTATATTGTACTGAAAATGGTTTCATTACAATAGGATCATAGCTGCGTGATGTTTTTTCTCGTTGCTCTTCACTCGATGAAACATCATTCATCGATGATGTATTAGTATTTTTCTTTCTATTTGGATGAAAATTTTTCACAGTAAAATCCATTGGTGGTTGTTTCCATGGATCAGCTGTCTGAGGGATCTCAGTATGTTGTTGTATTGAATTTCGTAAGCGATCATGTTCACAATCGGCTACAAAACGTTTGCGATCATCAAATAGAAATGTTGCCTTCATTAGAGACGTTTTTTCATCCATGTTACAGACTTTTTTTAACGTCCCTATTAAAATGTGTGATGGACAGAAAAGAGAGAGAGAGAGAGAGAGAGAGCAAGAAAGTAAAAGAGAAATCAAGAAAATAAAGTGTCACAATCAGCAATGAAAACAACAGCGTCGTTACTATTTTCTTTTTGCTGTTCTCTTGTTGTTAACGTTCAAATAAATGTTACAGACAAGAAAAATAGAATTCTTTGTCAGTTCGTGAATAACGAATGTATACTTAACTTTCTTTTATAAACAAAAACCTTATTGTAGTACAATATAATCTAAGCTCATACTGTTGTTAAGCATGAATAGTATTTAATATTGATAAGTTATTTGATTTGTATATTAAATATATATGTATATATGCAATGTAAATCATGTGATCATCTCGATGAAGTTTTTTTTTTGGATAGTTTCTTGCAATACACACATTGATACGAAGAAAAAAATTTAGAAGAAGAAAACAAGCGAAAGTAGAGAAACTCATAACAACGATAATAGTGAATGAGCAGAAAATTTGTTATAGGAAGAAATAGATGACGAACATGAAAATAAAAAGAAAATATATATAGTATTGATATTCGTTGAAATTTTTTTATGCAACACAAGCTTGATTTTATATTATCATATGATTATCTATTCTCAATTATGTTCTTGATATCATTCATCTGCATTTCTTTTTGTACAGTTTTTGATCTTGTTTCAAATTGTCTCTGAATTGTCATTTAAAATATAATGCGTTTTTTTAATATATGTATATATATATATGTATATATGATAAACGACAATGAGAGATAGAGAAAACAAACAAGCCAAAAAAGGAGTACAAGAAAAAAATGAAGATGAGGCTATCATCCGGGTACGGAGCGCATAGACAGAAAAAATAAGACTATATTATATATGTGTGTGTGTGCGTGTGTGTGTGTGTGTGTCTGTGTGCATGTGTTTATATGCATGTGATCAACTGTTTAGTTCAAGAACGATTTCCATTATCGACACTGGATGTCGCTGAATATGGCGCATAGATTCCATTTGTGATCATATGTGATTGTGTCGACTGTTGTTGTGACCAGCGTGCTGTTGGTATGAGATTATTTCCTGAGGATAATGTGGAAGATCCTTGTGATTGCGTAGTTGTGGACCATTGTGGTGATGTTGTATCAAGTTTATTACCGAATGATATTATAGCTGGATCGGTCCACGGTAGATTTATCCATCGATCGTTTGATACTAAAATGTTAGTTGATTATGTCATTTGTAGGTTTAAAAAAACAGAATAGAATAAATTACCATTATTGGTGGGCACTGCACTATTAGAAGAGTAAGAATTGTTATTATTGTTATTATTTAGTGATTGAGAATATTGTGATGATGATTGTGTTGATGGAAGTCTTTGTTGAATTTGATTTGTGAAATCTAAACGAGTTGATACTTGTGGTGGTGCATATTGTGGTTGCTGATTGCCATTCCACATCTGTCTCGGCGATGATCCGTCTATAGATAGAAACTCTGTACTTAAATAAATTAAATTCATCTTTTGAATTTTTACTAAATGATAGGGGATATCTTTGTTGTTGTTGCTGCTGCTGTTGTTGTTGTTGTTGATGTTGGTGGTGTTGTTGCTGCTGCTGCTGCTGTTTTTGTGGCGTGGTACCATTACTATGTAATATTGCTTGCTGATCATGATAATGTTGATATTGTTGTGTTGGTTGTTGTAATAGCCACGGTGGATTTATTTGTCCAATAGAAGAATTCGTTGTAGATGGATATTGTGATGAATAATTATATGAATTTGATATAGGGCGATGTGATAATGTTGTTGGCAATGGTCGTCGTTCATCTTCAATATCAGATGCAAGTGCTGACATAAATAAACTACATGGATCAAAACCTAAGATAACAAGAATTTTAATTTTAGAATAATTAATTATTAGAAAGAAAAAAGATCTTTACCAAGTTCATCATTTTCTTGTGCTTGAGAATAAGATGTATCACCATTATTAAGACCATTTTCTAAATAAAAACAAAAAAAGAGAATAATAGAACTATTTCGATCATTTGACTTTCTTTCATACCCATTAATCTTCTCTCAATTTCTCTCACGTCGTGATCGATTCCATTGATTAATGGTCTTTGAGATTGTTGACAATTTTCATTATTACCAAAGAGAAGATTATGTATAGATGGTGCATTCGAACTAAATAATTTATATTCTGGTAATTGATCGTAATTTTTCACTGTATTATTATTATTAGTTGATTCTGTTAATAAATTATTATTTGGCGACGATAATAGACTGTTTACAGGTACATTTAGAGATGGTGATGCTTGAGATAAAGATTTTGATATTGTGGTTGCTTGTTGAGAAGATGCGAGATTATTTGTGGCAAAAAAAGATGTTCGTTCCTCTGGCCAATTTGTTGTCGGAGACGTTGTATATGTTTGAGCTTGAACTACTAGTGATGTTACTTGTGGATCATGTTCAGATGATGTTTGAGATGATGTGGATGTTGTATCAGAATCAACATTTATAGGATTCGTGCGTGTAAATGACTCTGCATTATAACCATTTAATGAATGATGATGAATTTCATCACCTGATTCTAAATCTGATTGTCCATTGGTTGATATTGCTGAATTACTAGTTAATAGTGATGATGCTGTTTGAGATGGAGTTTTTCGTCGTTGTGGTGAATCGTTTTTTTTACTGAAAAAATTTATACTTAGATCAAATTTTATCCATCAAGATTACATACCCATTTACGCCAGTTCGTGTTGTTTTTGGTGTTGTATTGGTTTGTCCAGATGCATTTTTAGAAGTAAACTGATCCATAAGTTTTCTTTCATATTCAAGATGTAGACTAAAAACAAACACAAGACAAGATAATATAATTTTCTATTTTTCATTTATTTTACCCTTGTTGCATCTGCTCTTTAGTAAAACTCGCTAATGGATCACCGGGTTCATGTAAATAAAGACAATCAGCTTTTTGGCATGATGCACCTTTTAAATATCGACTACAATATTTAGTTGTACCCAATGTTGCTTTTAGTGTTCGACCATCAACATGATAATTACATAGAGCTTGTATAGCACGTAGTGCTTCTTCTGAACGTGAATATGTTATATATACACATATAGAATTTAATTGTCCATTGTGTGCTGGTGATGTAACTAATTTAACTATTTTACCATATTTACCGAAATAATCATTTCGTCTTAACAATTCAGTATCAGCTAAACGTGATGGAAGACCATTGACAAATACAAGATTGCGTTGAACGACTCTATAAATTCAATATAGAATAGCGAATATATATATATATATATATATGTTGAAATATACCGAAGATTTGCCAAATGTTTTCGACTTTCAGTGACCTTTGGTTTTTTATTGGATTCTTTTAATTTTCTATCACGCTTTACTTGTTGAATTCTAAATAGAATTATGAAAATTAGCAAACAAAAATATTATTATTATTTTGAATTACTCTTCATCAGTTAATGGCTTGAATTGTGCCGGATTTTCACTGTATGGCTAGAAAATAACAAGAAATTGTTTATCTAAATAAAATTATTCAAACAGGATACATACTTTTCGACAGGCAGGACATAATCCATTTTCATCCGTTCGAATGCGATGCCAACAAAATCGACAAATCTAATTTTAAAGAAACAAGGCATTTCATATAATATTCAATAAATCAACCAATAAAGAAAAAACAAAATCTATTACTTGATAACAACATGTACATGGAAAGAAATTCAAATCATCAGCTTCAAGTACTTCCAAGCACAATGGACACTATTAAAAAATAAAAAGATCAATGATTCATTGTCATGCTGATTTTTGCACATACTTCCGATGACTCTGGGTCACTGTCCATAATTTGTATTTGATTATTTTATATATTCGTAGGGATATTGAAATATCAAAAAAAATCTATAAAGATATTTAATTGGCTTTTTTTTATCAGAATAGAATTGTTGTATATAATCATGCAATTGCGCTGCTGTGTTACTCTTTCTCAACACATACACACTAGCAAAAAAAAGAAATGCAATAGAAGAAAAGAAAGAAAAAAAAGATTAAATAATTCCTTTCCTTCCTTTCCCGTTCGTCGAGTGCTACATCTTTTTTTTGTAGAAGCTTCGATTGGTGATGAAACATAACTTATCGAATGTTGTATCGTGAAACTTCTTGAAATCTATTCTCTGAAATTATTTTCCTTGGAAATATAAATGATTAATAGACATTTGAAAATTTATGTATCAATAATCAAACATATGCGAATCATAAATTTCAAACAGCGACATCTATTAAGAAGCTATATATATAAATGTTCAGTAATAATTTCTTATTTTTTAAATTTTTATACGGAGTAAAAATAAATATTTATGAAATATAACATGAAAAAGTTAGGAATTCTTCATTTGACATATAGTGACAACAACGCGCGAGCGAGATCCTTTGTCCTAAATGAGTTCTTTATTCTTGTCATTTCGTTCTTTTGCCGCCTATGTGCGCATGAATTTCAGTATCCGATCTAATGGAATCGGCAAATTTAAATAAAGAAATTGCCAGTAGTGTTAAAGCTGCTGTTCGGTAAGTGAAAAAGAAAATCAGTGAAATATTTCAATTAAATAAAATATCGTTAATTAAAATAATTTTCAAGTGTTCGTCCACTATCAAAAAATGAAGAACATGATTTATGTCAAACATGTGTTGATGTACAACGAGCAACAAATGAAATCATTCTTGCTAATAGCACAGCTTTTACATTCGATCATGTATTTCTACCAGATACAACACAAGACGATGTTTATCGTGAATGTATTTACGATATGATCGAGGGATGTTTTCAAGGTTATAGCGCATCTATACTTGCCTATGGACAAACCGGTTCTGGGTAAATGGTGTTTTTCTTAATATTTTCAGTTGATTTCATTTTTGTGCCATATATATATATATGTAGGAAAACTTTTACGATGGGTAGTGGAATTGAATATAGTGATCCAACAAAAGAAGGCATTTTACCTCGTGCAATTATGCATATATTTCAACGATGTGCAAGTTATGAACGTGAAGCTGAATTGAAAGACATTGCTCTATCAAAATGTGTTGTTTCGTGTCAATTCATTGAAGTAAAACTGCTAAAGTTAAAATTTAATCTTCATTTTAATTGTAATTTCTTTCTTTTTATAGATTTATAATGAAAACATCTATGATTTATTCAATAAAGAAAATATTGATTTTCGTTCACAAAAAAATTCTGATAAACATGTTGTATTTGAAAATAGCAATGGAGAAATAGCAGTTACTAATATTACAACACGATTTGTTACAACTGCACATGAGGTAGGTTATTTTACTTTTTTCAAACCAATTATTTCTATGTTAGATTGTTTGTCTATCATAAAATATTTGTAAAGCGAAAATCCTGTATTTGCTTTATCGTTTTAATAAAGTAATTTATTCGATTAATAGCAAAATCCTATCTCATCAAATAGTTTAGAAATAATTATGAATATCTATTCCATTTTTTGTTCTGTAAATTCATAGACGCTGGATTGTTTAAAAGAAGGTGCTCTCAGTCGAACAACAGCAGCAACACGTATGAACAGTGTGTCAAGTCGATCACACGCCATATTTACTGTTAATTTACAATTCGAACGTGTTGTTCCATCAGTAGCTGTAAGTTCAGTAAAATTTTAAAACAAAATCTTTCATATAATCTATTTTCAATTTCAGACATCAAATCCAAGTTTACGTGAACAAATTCGTGCAAAAATTCATTTTGTCGATTTAGCTGGTTCAGAAAGTTTAAAACGAACCGGTGCTACAGGCCAACGTGCTAAAGAAGGCATTAGCATTAACAGCGGTTTGGTATGTTAACACGAATCATTTTTGTCCATTAGCTCTTGAATGATATCTCTATTTAGCTTGTTCTTGGTAATGTCATATCAATCTTAGGCGATCCGCTGAAAAAAGGAGCACATGTACCCTATCGTGATTCTAAATTAACTCGTTTATTACAAGATTCATTAGGTGGTAATAGGTGAGTTTTCAAGTTTGATCATACTTTGAATAAATCGAAACATTCATTTTGTTTCTTTCGTTTAGTCGAACATTAATGATTGCTTGCATTTCACCTGTAGACCGTGATTTTTCTGAAACTAAAAGTACACTTAATTATGCTCAACGTGCACGAAATATCCGCAATCGTGTTAAAGTTAATCAAGATAAACATAGTAGACAAATCATACAATTACAAATGGAAATCGAACGATTACGTGCATTAGTTGATAAAAATGAACATTTGTCATCAGTAAATAAAATATTTTGATTTTGAAAAATTATTTTGAATTTTGTTTTTCTGTGTTTAGGTTGATTACGATCAAGCGAGTAATAGTGCATTAAATCAAGAACTTGAACGCATACGATCATATATATATACAATTCAACGGTCAATAAATGAAACAAACAATGTATCACAAGCATTGAAACATGATCTTGAATCAGTTCGAGATCATCGACTAATCAACGATACAACATTTGATTATGATCAAGCATTAAATCAATGTTTGATGAGAAGTGATGAAATTCAGTAAGAACCATACATCGTGTTCTTTACTATGTATTAATATTTTTCTTTATAGATCTCGTTTATCACGTATGATCGATGTTAGTCATGTACTTCGTAAACGTAGTCCATTATCGTGTCGTCGTAAGAGTCGTCTAACAAGTAAGTAATATGAAGAGATTATGTCATCTTTGTCTTGTAAATCGTGAAAGTTAACATTTGAATCGAAAAAAAAGGATACAATTAATGGCTGCTTTTAAATTATTCATTTAGGATCATTTTCAGCTGATCTACCAGTGACAGTTGAATTTAGCCAAGGAACAATTGGTTCGGATGATTTACAGCCATGTATTGAAGATATTCGCCATGAAATTGATCGCCTTCGACGAGAAGAACAATTGCTTCGTGGAAGGTTTGTATATAGAAAAACAAAAGCCAATTGCATTAAATGATTTTGTAATCTTACTGTTTAGTGGTTCAGCAAAATCAAATCGTATTGGTGTCAGTACAATACCAGGCTCGCCACAAGAACCGCATGAACTTCAAGATCAACAAAAATCTGATGCAATTTATCCTCTCTCAACAAATCCATCAACTGATATTGATAATCCTTCAAATATGCAAATTTTGGATGAACAAGAAAATATGGTTAATAGCGATGAGGACGATGAACAGGTCCAATTGACTGGTGATGATGTTCAAACTGAATGTAATGATTAAAATAGAAAAAAAAATGAGTGATTAAAAAAATGATTTCTCTCTCTCTCTCTCTCTCTGATTATAGCTGACGTACAAGAAGAAAAATTAGTTATTATTACAACTGAAATTAATGCCAAACAAAAATGTCTCGAAATGCTTGAAAGTGCACGTAAACGTAGTGATCAGATACGTCAACGATATGAAGAACGTATTAAAACACTTTCCGAACGTATACAAAATGCTGAGGATGAAAAACAAGCAGCTGTAACTAAATTAAGTAAGTAAATTTTTTTTCTCGTCTATTTGAGATCTTATTTGTCTCGTTCTATCAAATTTAGACACAGCTGCTCGTGATCAACATAATATTGAAGAATTAAAATCAGCAAGACGTGATTATGAAGAAAAAATTCGTCGATTAGAAATTGAGAATAATGAATTAACAGCATTACGTGCACAATATACTGTTTGTTTAAAGGATGGAGAATATTATAAAAAAGAACTTGCAAAACATACAAATGAATTGAAAGATTTACGTAAAATGAAAGTTCAATTAACACGTGAATTACGTCAAGAATTTATTCGACATCGAGCAGCTGAACAAGCTAAAGCAAGAGAAATCGCCACACTTAAACGAGTATGTTCTGACAATGGACAATATTGAATTCTTTTATTATTTTTAAACAATTGTACTTTTAATTTATTACATAGACACAAATGCAAAAAGATAATGTTATTCGAACGTTACGTGCTCAACATAAACAAAAGGAAATGATTCTTAAACGTAAACAAGAAGAGGTATGTTTGTTGATGAATACTTTATGAAAAACAGAAGAGTACCATAGGTTTTATCTTTAGTATAGAAGCTATTCCCCGAGAAGAAAGATAGCTATAGGATTCAAATATAGACTGACCTTGAAAGATGTTCTTTATTTCACAGTCAAAGAATATTCTAAGGCAAATGCAGCTCTATTCTCAATTCAGAAATCATGATAAATATTTTTTAAGTATGAATGGGCTTAAATTAATGCTGAATAATAAAGTTAGTTTAATATCTTTCAATCAATGAGCTCATCTAGTTTGTATATATAGAATGAAACCAACGTATTTTCACTCTCGAGAACTGCACTAGTTATGCAGAGGCTAGAGATTTGCAAGTTTTAATTCTATTTCTGTACTGCTGAACAGGATTTAAACAAAAACGAAAGGCTATATTTAAATATGTATATCGAAATGCCATATGCGAGGGATGATGCAAAATTACTAATACACTTCAACTATTAAAATTAAACGGAAAGTATTCAAGAATCTTTTTGCCATTCGCACAGAGAAAAATTCTAGGATAGTTTTCTGTAAGCCACAATCAACATGGAAATAGTTCATCAGAACTAGCACCAACAAAAATTCGTCCGGGTACATCTCTAATCACGACAGTATCTTCTTTGGTTTTTTGCAAATAGTAATTAATATAGAAAACTAAAAAAATGTAAAAAGCGAATTACTGGTTAAATATAAGCAGTTAGCAATTATAAGATTGTGAACTTATATTGTTGATTTTCTAGGTACATTTATTACGACGTCAAATGCGTTCAGCACGAATGCGTAAAACAACCAAAGAAATGACTGAACATTTTGCTGCTATACAACAAGGCGTACGTTATTTCATATTAATTATATAGTATGTTTCTATTTCTTGCCAATTATCTATTCTAGATTACAAATGCTATTCGCCGCCGAAAACTTATTGCTGGCATTAATCGAGATATGAATACTTTAATAGAGAATCGCGAACGTGCAAGTCGTAAACGAGAACGATTTTGTAAACGATTAAACAAAACAATTGTTTTGAGTAAAATCGATCAAGAAAAACCTGAAGAAGCAGTATCTACGCCAGTACGCGATTCAATAACAAAATTAGATAGTACAATTGCTTATCTTAATTCGGAAATAGCATCATGTCAACAAGTTCTAATGGCTTACGATGATGAACAACAATCAAGTGAATTAATACAAGGACCCGATCCACAATTTATTGTTGATTGTGTTAATGATATTGATGAACTTCGGTATCTATTAACAAAACTCATTGAACAAACTATTGAAAAAGTAAGTTCTTCTTTTGAAATTTAAAATTAAAATTTAATACTGGTGCTTTTTTATTAGGGCTTCGAAGCTGATGAAGCTAATGAATTAATGTCTTATGTTGATTTGGTTGAAAATATTCTTGTTAAAAAAGATGCGAAACCGGCAACAACACATAATAAAAAAGTAGCAACAGATGCTGGTCAAGACGATTCGATGGATACAACACCTGTACCTGAAGATTCACTAGGATCAAAAACTATGATACTTCGACCATTATGTAATATTCCAAGTCTACCTAATTATCAAAACGAACCTATGTGTTCTGATTAAAATTGTTCGACTACTTTTTTTTCTATCTTATATAAACTCTTGTGCATATTTTCTTATTTGTTTATTTCATTTTTTTCTGCTCCTTATTTACGTGTGTATGTCTTCGAAAAAATAGTATAAATATAATTCCTTCATATAAGACTTAGTATATTATCGATGGGACAAAAATTATTTCAATCGCCGTATTTTAGTTTTCCTTTTAACTTTGTATTGAGGTAACGATTTTTTACAGAGAGTATTCCTTGTTTGACACTCTTAAAAATTTAGCTCATGATTTGAATTCTTTCATGATAATTAACATTGCTTGCAGGACTATGTGGGTTCTCTATTGACTTGAGCGTATTGTAATGTGAGGTGAAAATGAAAGTTGATAACCATAAATCAATTTGCATGTGATACACGACGAATACGATTGTACTAGTTGTCGAACTGTACTGTAAAATAATCTCACATATGAATGATCATTTGACATACAGAAAGATCAAAATTAAGAAATTTCTTATCATCAATGATTACATGAGAATTTCTATCTGCGTATGGCCACGTAGATATTTTTCGTATTGTACCTGTGATCTATTTTTAATCATAGCTATTTGCACATCTATATTTATATGAATAATTCTAAGAATTCTTCACAGACCATGTTACATCTTATGGTGCAATCATTGAATACGAAATAGTGATGTTCGTGTTTTGAAATTATTCAATTTTTAGATAAAAATGTTACTTCATCTAAAAATGCTAATAGTGTTTGTATTTCTCAAACTTTATTTGTATTGCTTCTTGTTTTACGTCATATACCATGATGTTGACCGATGATAAATACATACATGGAAAACAAATCATCATACTGTGATCCCTATCGTAATAGAATACCATTGGTTATTCAATACTCAATGATTGAGTCATATTGTCTCATATTAATCGAGCTATTTTCCTGGCTTGCTCTTTCTTTCTATTGATAGACTAGTTGGATAAATCATCGTAGATCTGCTGACGGGTTCTAAAAGAGTCAAGAGCTCTTTCTAATTAATAAATAAACCGTTTTTTATTTATTTTTAGAGAATTTTCGCTGAGAATGTAATACGAAGAAAACAAAACAAAACAAAAATATAAATGTCTGTTAAACTTCAGCGAAAAGCAAGTATTGGCGGAATACGTGGTCGGACATCGGCCACATCTGAGATGACCCTCGATGATTACTATCATACAGTAGCAAAAACTATTTTATGCAATCAAAATCCGTTAACAGGTCTTTTTGCTGCTGGTAAAGATACAGATCATGCTTGGGTGCGTGATAATGTCTATGCTATAATGGCTGTTTGGGGTTTATCATTATCGTATAAGAAACATTTGGATCAAATGGAAAATTGGACAAAATGTTATGAACTAGAACAAGTAACCATAAGATGAACTAAATCATTGAAATATATTGTTGTTCTTTTGAACAATTTAGAGCGTTGTTAAAACTATGCGTGGTCTGCTGACGTGTATGATGAAACAAGTGAAAAAAGTTGAAAAATTTAAAACAACATTAAGTCGTGATGATGCTCTACATGCGAAATATTCTTCTGTAACAGGTTGATTTATTTGAAAATAAAATTTCTTTATAGTTTCTTACTGTTTTTATATTTAATAATTTAGGTAATACTGCTGTAGGCGATAATGAATGGGGACATCTACAATTAGATGCGACTTCATTATATTTATTAATGCTCGGCGAAATGACATCATCAGGTTCATAGAAGAAGAAAAAAACAAGATAGAGAAAATACTCTTTCATTTCATGTGTATTTCTAGGCCTACATATTGTTTATACTCTTGATGAAGTTGATTTTGTTCAGAATCTCATCTTTTACATCGAACAATCATATATGATTCCAGTCAGTAAAGATAAAAGAAATTTGAATGAAAGAAAAATGAATATCCTATTAATTATTTAAGGATTATGGTATTTGGGAACGAGGTGATAAAACTAATCATGGCTATCCAGAACTGAATTCAAGTTCAGTTGGTATGGCTAAAGCAGCACTAGAAGCATTGAATGAATTAGATTTATTTGGCAGTAATGGTGGCCCACGATCTATTATACATGTCTCTGCAGATTATATTTATTGGTGTCATTCAGTACTTAAAGCAATGTTACCACGTGAATCATTTTCAAAAGTAACTAGTACTTTTTTTTATTTAATGTTTTTTTATTTAATTTTTGTTTTCATCTAGGAAACGGATGCATCATTATTGAGTATAATTAGTTATCCAGCATTTAGTATTGGAGATCTTGATTTAGTAGCCGAAACAAAAACAGGTATCATAACAAAATTACAAGGTCGATATGGTCTAGCGAGATTTTTACGTGATGGTCATAAAACACCACTGGAGGTATGTTGTCTAGCGATTGCTCGATTTAAAATATTGTTTGTATTCTGCAATATTAAGAATGCATCCAGATTACATTATGATCCACATGAACTCAAACGGTTTGAAAAAATTGAATGTGAATGGCCATTATTCTTTTGTTATCTAATTCTTGATGGATTATTTCGTGAAGATGATGAACAGGTTTATCAAAACAACTTAGTTTCATTTTTAGAGAAATATTCTATTCGGTTTAGGTTTCAAACTATTGTAGTCTACTCGAAAAATGTATTATTAAAGATCCTGAAGGTGTACAAATTGTACCAGAATTATATGCTGTACCACCAGATCGCGTAAGGATACTATGTGTTGCACATAAATCATGTTATAGATGGACTTTTGAAGTTATATCAAGTGTGATATTTTTTTTAAAGAAATTTGAGTTGTTATCTGTACTATTAAGCTAGCGTTAACAGTGGACGGAAAGTACTACCTATTTGCAAGATTTCAATGGTAAAGATATGAAAGATAGAAGTTTTGCTTCATTCTCGTAAAGCTAATTTATTTCTCATCAAAATTGAAACAGTCTCTCTCTCTCGAATAATCGATTTTGAAGCCTCACTGTTTATCGCATAGAAAACTACTCAGGAAAGTCCGATAAACAGAAACGAAATCAATGATTGTCATTGTGATTTTTAGAGTGACATATTAACGGGGTGTGCGAAAGTTTTTAGACAAAATGTTTGTTGATTTTTTATTCACTTGAAATTATTTTTGACGAGTCAACCACCAGAATTTTATGCTCTTTCGGAATATGAACTTAGAAATTTTGTGTCGGTTTTTGTTCGAGAGTAGTAAGTTAATCTTTGCAAGGTCCAAAAAATTAGTTTGGACAGAAATGTTTTCCGCACACTTTTATATTTTCACTGTTCTGATCCGAAACTAAAATTTGGAACCTATATTATGATACCAACTTGTAGAGCAAAATCTACGCTATAAAATGTGCTATTTGAGTTTTCTTTTGTCTGTCGGCAGGGCACCTGAATTTTCGTGTTGCCTACATCGCCATTTTTGAAAAATTGTTTTTTTGACCAAAACCGTTTGAAGTGGAAAGGAGGTCTTGGAAAAATGCGTATAGCTTTCCTTGGGTAAATGCTACAGCTTAGTTCAATACCACATTTTGTAGAGAATTGTTCACTTTACAAAACTACCAAATCCGACAATTTTTAGCATATTCGCAAAGCGACTTATAGGGGTTAGCAAAACCTGTTTGTTCAGAGTCCAAACTAATTGTTAACACCTTTCAAAGATTCCCTGACTACTCTCGAACAAAAGCCGACACAAAATTTCTAAGTCCATAATCCGAAAGACCACAAAATTCTGGTTCTAGCGCATAGATTTTGACTCGCCGGAAATAATTTCAAGCAGATCAAAAATGAGCAAACATTTTGTCTCAAAACTTTCGCACACCCCGTTAGTAACAACGAAATTTTGAATCTCCCTTGTAAAATCTATTCTAAACGATAACTGTCACAAGGAAACTTCTTTTGTTACATAACACACATTATATTCATTACTATTTTTATTTGAAAAACAAAACAAAATGTCAAATCCACTTGATACAAATCGAATACAGTATTTATATCATTTTATTATTTTAGGTTGAAGTTGAAAAAAATAATCCACATAGTACAGATCGAATACCAATGGGCCGTATACCTCATATGTGGGGTCAATCTCTTTTTGTGTTGGCCATGCTTGTTAAAGATGTACGTTAATTTTGATATTCCAACTGAAATAAGTTCGTCTTTGCTTTTCTTTAAAAGGGTTTCTTAGCACCTGGTGAACTTGATCCATTAAATCGACGTCTTATAACTGAACCTAAGCCAGAAGGTTTTGTTCAAGTTTGTTTGCTAACTGATAGTGAAGTCATTCAAAAAAACTTAGCAGCAGTTAACATACATATTCAACAAATAAAAGATCTTGATTTAATACAAGTTCGATCTGTACAAGTCTTACAAAATATTTATTCACATCTTGGTTAGAACAGTCACAAAAAAAGAACACAATCTATTTCGTATAAATATTTTTTTTTGTTTTAGGTCGAAATGAACGGCTCGGTCTCACTGGTAGACCATCATTTGATATGGGTCCGTTTTCAACATCAAAACTTTATACAATATGTGGACGAACACTAGTATTTACACCATCGGTTAGTTTTTATTTTTCGAATTTTGTAGAAGTATTATTGAATTTGTTTTTCATTATTTTAGTTTATGGATCAACATACATTTTATTTAGCATCCGATATCGATTATATAATAGATCGTTTTCGAACTTACATAGCGTTTTTAAATCGAAATTGGAATAATATAACTGGAAGACCTGTTGTTGTATTTGTTCTACGTTCAGATATAATCGATGTAGATCCTATGCCTAAAAATGTTGTACAAACATTAAAGAAAATAAAAGCCGGTTATACAAATGGTGTACGAGTACACATGGGAAAATTAGAAGATTTTATTAATACATCATGCGTAGCGAGTCTTGATTTTGTTTTTCATGAAGATGACAATGAAGATGTTGAAGAAAAACTAATGGAATTATTACAATCAAGTTCAGATTTTAATCAAATGTCAACCTTTTTGTCATATCAAAACGTTGACTATCGTTATCAAAAGCGATATCGAATTAAAAAACTAGCACAAATACGTGGAGCTGTTAAACGTAGTTATAGTTATAGTCATCCTACAAATGATGGCGCAGTAGCGCAGAGTATTCTTAATCCAAATAATACTGACGAACAAGATGATCAAGCTGATACAAATGTTCTAAGTCATATTCGTACTGACAGCCATACGTTATCAACATCAAATAGAAGAGATAGTTTATTAAGAGATAAAGAAGTACATGACATTATTGCTCTACTTCCACATGCTGCATCTATACATGATCAAGCTGACATTTTACATTATCTATGTATGAACAAGTAAGCAAAAAACAATAATAACACATTGAATTACTAGTAATTACTTATTTTCATAGTTGTTCTTCATAAATTTGAACAATTGAGAACCTATGTTTATATGTTATTTTCTTTCGGAAAACGTTTTGAAGATTGCTATAAGAACGAAAGGAATCCTCTAGAAAAATATTTTCTTTGAAATTTCTAGAACAGAAAATATACAATTATAATTATTTACATAGGGGAATTGATTTCGAATTCGAACATAATGGACATCATGTAACAGTTCGTGATCTTATTCAAGAACTTTATACTAGCGCATGTAAACAACGTGTTTGGTGGTGTGTACGTCATTCTGCTGGTATGTTAGGAATGCAAAATCAAAGTATTGCTCAAAGTTTAATTGCTATACTTGCACAACAAAAACAATTAACAATTGGTTTACCACCAGCACCACGTGAACACGTTTTAACAAGTCCGATGACAGTTGAACAATTGTATGCTACCATAGTAACAGCAACTGGAGATGATCCAACAATGGTTATGTTAACACAAGAAATACTCGTGTTTCTACATACATTTATCAGTACTGAACCTCAATTATTCACCGGTATGATACGTATACGTGTAGGTCTTATTGTGCAGGTAATGCTTGGTGAATTAAAACGCACATTACAATCGACTGATGAAGATACAACAGATCATTTATTAAATTTAAGTCCATATGAAATAAAATGTTTATTGCATATTATTTTAAGTGGTAAAGAATTCGGTATAACTGAATATTCAACAAAACCAATACCAGAATTAGCAGATTTATCTAAACAGGAACGTGATATGCGCATTATACGTAATGAAATTAAAGATGCGAGCACAAGAAAATTAAGTGTTCATTTGAATTGGGCCGATCATCTGCCGGAAGAAGATGATGATGATATTGGTAAACATGGTCAGTGGATTCGACGACGACGTCTTGATGGTGCTTTGAATCGTGTACCAGTTAAATTCTATGGACAAGTTTGGCAAACACTTGAAAAGGTATATATTCTAGTGGAAAGATACATTAGTAGAAAATACACTCTTGCATCAGTATGCTTTCTGTATATACGTATCACGTCTTGCGTAAAATTCAATGTTTGCTCGATTTCGAAATTTTACTTAATAGTATCTCATTGATATTAAACAAAGTCTTGCCATAATAAATATATGTTGTTTATCGTTTATTTTAGTGTAAAGGTATTAAAATAGCTGATTATATTCTATATAACAGTCTAACACAAGAAATGACTCAAGAAGAAATTAAATTTGCTCTACGCGTTGAAGAAGCACTTAACCGTGTCCCGTTCACTGAATATCGACAATTGATTGTTGAAGCCTGTGTTATATTGACATCCATAGCACTTGGTGATGCTCGGTAAAATTTCTATTTTTGTCTGCGTTTGTTTTAGTTTTTCATTATTTCTATTTCTATAGATTCCATTGGGATGACATCATCAGTATTGAAGATATTGTCTCTACAGCAAATGGAATATTTTTACAAGATCAAGTAGCATCAGGTGGTGATGCAACGAAATGTTGTGCTAGTGGAAATCCATGTGGATCCGCAGCTAGCATATGCTTACATTTCTATGATTCCGCGCCGAGTGGACGATTTGGAACAATAAATTACTTTTTGCGTGCACTTCTGAGAATTTTACATGTTGATGAAACTACCGTATGTGCGATTAGTTAAGATTGTATATTCTTTTAATGTTCACGTTTAAAGTCATTTCGATTGATTTGTTATTTTCTCGATTAGATATACAGTAGTCGTCCGTGTTTTTTAAACCCGTTTACAAATATGAATTTCTAGAAAATCCTTTCGTATCGTTTACTTCGAAATATCTGACTTACAAAATGCATGCAAAACGGTTCTCTTCTTCGCCCGTTACAAAGCTTCGATAAAACAACAAGTATAACTTTTGAGCATTTTTCTTTGTTGTTATCATTATTATTTTTTCTTTGAATATATACACATGCATGGTCTTTTTTTCTTTCATAAATTCGTTTTTCTTTCATATTGTATGTGTTGTACCAGTAGATTATTTATCTTTGCCATACAAAAAAATTCATATGCGTCTAGGCATATCAATTTGCCATATGTTTTTTGAAGACCAATAACAAATCATTCGATTTCATCATAACAAGTTTGCTTAGATTGACTGAGGGTTTTCTTATATTTTAATACCGAAAATATGCACCATCACATAACGATTGTGTTTTAATTGCGAACAAAAATTAACCGTGCCGTCCACGCTGATCATTTGTTAATTGCCTTAACCTTGCTCCACAATTAGAAGGTTACTTTGCATACCATGACTATATCAATATTATTTTTATGAACAGCAGCAAGAAAAATAACATATTTTATGTAGATATCTATATATAAACTGAAAGACAATGAAAACATCTAAATTGAGAAAAAAATCGTTCAGCATGAACAATTTAAACACACGATATTTCATATACTCGATCTACTAGATGAAATATTATATACAATTTTCAATACATTGAATGCGGTCGATATGTTCTATTCATGGGCAAGTGTAAATTAGCGATTCGACCGACTAGCACTCGATTTTCTCTATACCAATGTGACTCAAAAAAACGACATATACTCTTACTTCATGTCGTTTGGTTTAAAAAATCTCCGAATTGATACCACATTTTCGAAAATTAAATAAGAAATTCTGTGGACAACTCTTAAGACTACAAAGTCCATATTGAAAATTTTTGCTGAGCATACCTAGATTTTTCAAAAAATTCAATTAACTTTCCGTTAGCGACCTGAGGGTGTAGCAATATACAGACGAAAGAATTCTCGTAAAACTGAATCAGACTTTGAAAACCAATTTCAAATGGTATAAACCCTTCTTTAGGAATTTCAAATGATAGTAAGACAAAAAGTTTGTTTCGAAACTTGAAAAGGCCTCTAGAGAGCCAGTAATTATGAGGAAAGTTTTGGAGTTCAATCTTACTCAAAATTTTACCATAGATGTAGTTCGTATCGTACAGTCTATTCTGAAATTTTCAGAATTTTTTTCTCATATGATTAGAGAGATACTCACTGATTACTTCTTAGTTAATTTATTAATTTTAATGAAGTGGCAACTGAAAGAACTTTCATTTCTCGCATAGTATTTGTTTTCCTTACTTGTACTGAACGACAATAACGATTGATCTATATTTCAAGGAGTGAAATTTTTATTGTTGTAACTGATTATCCTTCACTAACAACATTTTATTTCGATCTGAAAATACTAGTGTCTCAAAACTTTGATATTTCTAGTAAGTAGTATTCTAGTGTTTTCAACTAGAACACTTGCCAAGATTTTGACGATTGGTTTTAAACTAAATTATTGCTCACATTACAGATTTACTATAATACCTGTAAAATGAAGAGATTTTTGAAAACCATTGGAGTTAATTATTTGTAATCTTTATATAACATTATATAGAAAAATTTACATGAAAGATGTATAATTAACATACATATGAAATAAAAACATAACTGTCGCCATAAAATTCTTTTTAATTCAGATTATTCTAGATCGATATGTACCACATCCTGTTTTATACAATGCAGAGCTACTGATTTCACTATAGTCTATTACTACTACGATCAAAAACATAAATTGCAATTTAATTTAATTTAATTTAATTTAATTTAACTGTACTTCTTAACAACGACCTCTATGGGATTTTCGTCTGATTGTTGGCCTGTGTTTAGTACTATTCACTTGAAAATGAAGTATTTCTTTTAGTAGATTGGATAATTATTAAGACAAAAACAGAACATTAACAATCGAATTGTACAGCGTGTTTTAACTCCTATTTCGTCTTCGATATATCAATATTAAAATCTATGCCTTCGCCTACTTCGAATGAAAATGAAAGTCCTGATGAAGAATCTGATCCTGCATCGTCGGAAGATGTTTTTAAAATTTTAATTACAACAGATAATCATCTTGGTTTTGCCGAACGAGATGATGAACGTGCTAGTGATTCTTTAATAGCATTTGAAGAATGTCTTCAAATAGCACGTGATGAAAATGTTGATTTTATTTTACTTGGTGGCGATTTATTTCATGATAATAAACCATCAAATCATATTCTACTTGAATGTATTAATTTATTAAGAAAATATTGTCTTGGAGATAAAACCATTGGATTTAAATTGATCAGCGATGAGAAAATTAATTTTTCTTCAACTGTTCAATCAAATCCATTTCCATGGGCTAATTTTAAAGATCCAAATTTAAATGTTAGTACCCCAGTATTTTCTATTCATGGGTATAATTTTCTTTCTTTGTATTAAAAATAAAACTTACAATCAAATTTTGTTTCATTGTTAGAAATCATGATGATCCAGCAGGCTCAACACCACTTTGTCCACTTGATCTACTTAATTCATGTGGTTTAGTTAACTATTTTGGAAATTTATCATCGCTAGAAAATATTGATATTCATCCATTACTTTTTCGTAAAGGAGAAACAAATCTAGCTATTTATGGTTTAGGTTCTATACGTGATGAACGTTTACATAGAATATTTCTGAAAAATCAAATCAATCTACTTCGACCAACAAATAATCCTGATGATTGGTTTAATATATTTGTTATACATCAAAATCGTGTTGCACATGGTCCAAAAAATTATATTCCAGAGCAATTTTTACATGAATTTCTCGATATTGTTATATGGGGTCATGAACATGATTGTAGAATTACACCGGAATTTAATACTGTACAGAAATTTTTTGTTATTCAACCTGGTTAGTTTGATTTAATTAATGCTGTTTCGATATTCAATTCAGAAAAAAAAATATATCCTTGCTTTATCTTAATGCCTGTAAAATCTTTAAGCCGCAGGTCCAATGAGTAAGTGATTATTAGCAGGGATTTTTCTTAGGATTAACCCTTTACGGCCGGATGTTGTCATTTGGCAACATTGTGCCGATATTTTAAGAAAGGTCTAGCTATACTGTGAACAAATAGTGAATCCATAGTTCAATAATTACTACAAGATATTTTAGAACACACTCATAGCCCATGAAACGAAACAAAAACGTTTAACTGAGAAAATTACCGGAGTCCTCCTGAATACTCCTAAAGAACAACTGAATCATAATAAATGTTCTTATGGTACCATCACTCATTCAATCCCACAGGTCACTAGTGGTAAATTTCCCTGTCTTGATCTATCGTATATTGTATAACTCAAAGAGATGATTCAATGAGTACTGATAATAAGAGGTATGGATGTTGCCAAATGGCAACAGCCGGTCGTGAGGGGTCAAAATTTTTGAAAAATCATTTTTCGTTTTCGACCTTCGTTATTGGCTATTTTGCGTTTTTTCATTTATTCATACAAGAACAAAGCATACAAAATATATCTGATGGATTTACATAGCTTTTCCTAGCTTTAACTGGAATTTTCTATGAAAAAAAAACAGCATGGTAGTATTGCAGCTCTCAAAAACTGGTGTGGAAATGGATATTTGATTTACATATAGGCTTGGATGTAGAGAAATAGAAGATCTACATAAATACCTATCATGATGCCCACCAACACAAAAACTCACACAGCTACTCTTTCCTTAAGTTCAACGTATGTCAAATTTTTCATACAAAAGTGGATTTGAATCGCGGAGAAACTGTGCAGGTGTATCGTATATTTTTTTCTACGCTCTTTCTTGAATGACTAAATGAAAAGAACGCAAAATAGTGAATTATGGTGATTGAAAACGAAAAATAAATTTTTCAAAGTTTTGACCCTTTACGGTTGGCTGTTGCCAAATAGCAACATACAGCCATTCAACATAGAAGCACCGTTCAATTTTAAGAAATAGTTTTTTGCTATCTCTATGGCAAGATAAGAAAATATATGCAGAAGAAGAGTTTTAACTATGTCGCTTCTGGGAGCCGGCTGGCAAGGGTTTAAGATTCATTTAAAACACTGTAATCGGTAGATAACATTTCATTATTTTAAAAGTTACCCATGAGCCTATGAAATTCTGAGCTTATTTAATAATCTTTTATCCTTTTTCACTTAAAGCAATGCTCTTCTCCCAGACATGCTGACAACCTGTTGGATGGTCTATAGACAATTTATTCACCTATAACTATTTATAATGTTTTTTCACGTAAGATCATTCTTTGAAAAAATGGATAGACTTTTATTTGCCACAATACTATCAATTTCATATTTTTTCTCTTTGATAAACTAGGTAGTACAGTCGCAACATCTTTAAGTGAAGGGGAACAATTACAAAAACATGCTGGTATTCTTCATGTTTATAAAAAAACATTTAAAATGCACCGACGACCATTACAAACAGTTCGACAGTTTTATTTTCTTGATATTCAATTAACTGATCATATTGATGAAAAAGCACTTAAAACACTATCAAATGCTAAACTTGAACAAAAACTTGATAAAATTTTAACTGATACAGTAAAAAAAACATGTCTGTTTACTATTTTTGCGATTCTCTTCTTTCTTCGTATAAATAGATAAATGAATTACTTTTACGTGCTCAAAACGAACATAGTGGTCATCCAAAACAACCAAAAAAGCCGTAAGAAAACTGTATATATAAATTCTCTTGAATCACTATTTTCTTTCTTTTTTTTAAACATATGAAATAGTTTAATACGTCTTCGTGTTGATTATACTGGTTTTGATATATTTGATTCATTTAATGATATTCGTTTTGTTCAAAAGTTTTCCGATCAAGTTGCTAATCCAAAAACCATGATTAATTTACATAAAAAGCGTGAAAGTAATGCTTTCAAAACGAATGAAATCAAACTTGATCCTAATGCTATTAAAATATCCAATGAACAATTTCATCAAGCACAACGTGTTGAAGATTCTATTCAAGCATATTTTGAATCGGCCTCAGAAGTAAAAAGAATAATAAATAGGTAAATATTTCTCTAGATGAAGTTTTCTATTTAATAGGCCAATCGTTTACGTTTACTTGATGAAAAATCAATGTTAGCAGCATTGACTGAATTCATTGATAAAGATGAAGTTTATGCATTGAGTACAATGGTTGAAGCACAAATCGAACAGAGTCAAGTAATGATGAAGCTTTTTGTATAAGAAAATAAAAGTTCTATGTTAATGATTTTATAGAAATTTCTTTCCAGTAATATATATAATGATGATGTAGCTGCTCTTGAAGATGAACTGAAGCGTTTTAAAGCCTTGCAAAATGTTGATGATGAAGAAGCCATAAAACGAAGAAAGGATCTATTAGTTATTGCTCGACAAGAACGTATTAAAGCGTACGGTGACAAATCGAGTGACGATGAAATTATGGTAACACAATCGATTGGTATTAGTAATGACAATAGTGATGATGACGATGGTGACGATGATTTTGATCAAAGTTCAATGAGATCAACACAAAAACGAACACAACCATCATTATCAACAGCACGTGGGGCTACTCGTGGTCGTGGTCGAGGTAGAGCAAAAGCCACACCAACGAAAGCTCCTCGTGGTAAAAAGAAACCATTTTAATGGCCAATTTATTTCTTTTTTTTTGGTATCTTACGTTATCTAGTCAAGATTATTTCTTTTTTCTTTTGACGTTCTTATTTTTATGACAACAGAAATGCAAAACATTGAAAATAAAATTTCTATGAACAATAAATGTTTTTCCTAATTCTACAACGATCATATATTTTAGGTTGAATCAGCAGACAAGCCAGTCTTTTATAGTTATGGACATAGAATCTGTATTGATTTAAAAGTATTAAATATAGATGTTCGAATAGAGAAAATACTTGGGTATTTTTCCTTGTTTCTAAATCGTAAAATATTATCATTGTTCTAGAACACCGAATTCTATGTAACTTTTTATTGCCAATCACTAGTCTATGTAAGATTAATTATTGAATAGAATTGTATTGCTATCTCACGAGTTTAGTTATGAATTATTAATTAAATTGAGAATTTTGTAAATGTCAAAAAAAAACCTAGATTTTATTGATACACAAGAGCTGTGTTTTTAGTAAAACATGTTTTGGTTTATTAAAATAGATAAACAATAAAAATAAATAAAGATTTATTCCGTGAGTTGATTAATAGAATTATAAAGTATTTGAATATTTTCTTTTGCTTTATGCTTCAATGATCGATTTTCATCTTGAACTATTTGATATTCTTCAGTAAGTTTATTGAATTCGGCTAATTGTTCTCTATGACTATCGAATTCAGATTTGTTAATATTTATTGCTTCAATATACTTTTCACTTGTTTTTTGTTGTTCAATAATTTTCTCAACTAATTGAATGAGTAATTCTTGTCTTTGTCTAAGTTTCGTATAATAATCTTCAGTTCGATGTTTTATACGATTTTGTTCATGATGAAAACGTTCGATTGAATTTGCTGATTGATTTATACTTGAATTTACGGCCATAATGAGATCATTATAATACATCATTGGATTTGTTGCCACCGTTGCATTGGATATTCGCGATGAAATCTATAAAAAAAAAGGAAAAAAAATACTTTTAAAATAACTGACAAATTTCTATACCTGTTGATTCATATTATCAAGTGCTTGACGTATTGTTGGGGATTGCTGAAAACTATCTATTGCTATGCGAACTTGTTTTTGTTTAATTGACATTTGTAATAAACGAGCTTCTAAAAGGTCTGTGTCTGCTTTAAGTGAAGAATTGTAATTTAATAAACTTTTAAATTGATTTAGAACTTTTGTTAATTCGTATAGATGGCTATTGAGTAAATGCAAGTTATTTTGTGTATGATTAACATTGCTTTCATGTTGATTAAGTTTTTGTAAAAGTTGATCAAATACTGTTTCGTTATTATGATAATTATGAATATTTTTATTATTGATTATAGTCGGAATACTACTAGTATCAGAATAGATTGCCTCATTAAATCCTTTCAATTGTATTTTTGTTGTATTAGAAATCCAACGATTTGATAATGTACTCATCGGTGTTGAAAAGTCCATGAATGAATCAATATATGTATCTCGATTGATTGTTTCTGGTGTTGAATGCAAATGAGAATTTGTAGTCATGTTTAACAAAGGCAAGAAGAATGACATGTACGCTTTCATAAGCTATCTATTCTATTTCGAAGAAAAGGAAAACAAATGGAAATTATAAAAGGTGGATTTATATATGATGATACGCTAGATGGCTTCTAACAGGTGAAGCGAACAATTTGGTAACGAATCTATGTTTCATTACTGTATAATTTTCTGGAGTTATTTTTTTAATAGAAGAATGATAATTAATTTTTTCTAAACAAAATTCGATATAGTATCTTTCAATCGATCGTCGAAATTTTAATTTTATCTCTGCTTAGAGTTTCATGTAATTCTGTTTTCTTAATCGCTTTCAATGATCTATAGTATTTGAAGATTGTTGTTGTCGGAAAAAGGAGAAATTCTTAATTTTTCTCGCAATTGTATTTGACTACACATGAGTCTAGACTATTATACAATGATGTAAAACTAGCAATTAATAAATAAATGTCTATCTTCGAAAAGCAAAGATTTACTAAGACTCGACATCATTTTGGTAGAAATACTTTTTTTTTCTACTGATGATAGACGAGATAATGCATGAATTAACTACAGGAATTAGATGATAGATTAACTGTGTTTGTTTCAATTAAACGTTGACAAAACAATTTAGACGTAGTAGATGGATAGATCCTTTTGTTAACCAAATGAAATAGCGCCTATAGATCCTGTAGGTGGTATGGTGCACTTCCGGTATTTTCATTTTGTGCTTTATCTATTATACGTGACCAAACACAATAAGATACATTTCATATAGAGACTAATGTATATCCTGAAGTTTGTTCATTATCGCTATCGATCATGAATTCTGATATGAATGTGTTTTTATCCGAAGCCTGAAAAAAGAGAAAAGATTTGAATTAGATATTTTTGACAGCATATTCACAGTGTCATCAATATGAATATTGATTCAGATAATTATTTGCATTTATTTATTATCTATTTGCATTTTAGTACACGAAAAAAAAACCTATTCAATATGAAATACAGAAGCAGACTGCTGAATAATTATCAATAAACTTTTTTTTGTCTCATTACTCTACTTAATTTTCTTTTTGGTTATATTGATTTTTTGTTTCTTCAATTAGACTTTGTGAACACTTATGTCGTGTGGTGTATTGATTTTAACAAACATCTATCATCACACAGTAGATTTTAGAAAAGTGCTATTACAAGCTTGTGATCGATCAAAAACAAGCATCATGATACATCTCATATTAGACAAAATTTTGATCAATTTCTACAACATTCAATGCTAATTCCTATCAACTGAGTACAAATTCTCTCGTTTTTTTTTCAGGCGAAAGTTCGATTAGTGTATAATTGGAATCGGAGAAAATATTGAGGAAAAACAATTCTGGAATCTCAGGTGATAGAACTTGAATCTATCGTGGTAGGACTGAGATCCTCATGGTTCTACCTTGGTTGCGCTGCTTGAACAATACAGTTAGCAGAAACTCTTGATTAAAGTTTATCAGATGTTTAACAAAAAAAAACAAATACATTTGTATAGATTTAATATAATCAGAGAGAAAGAATATTCTTTTATTCAAACAATATTTGAATCATTTCAACTTCAGGTATAAAACAACAATTTGTAAGATTTTACCGATAATGAATTACAATCCGAAAATAGAAAAATATTTGCTGCATGGATCATAGACAAACAATAGTTTCATAAAGCGTGGTTATCTCTCTTTTTGACTGAGATTGTATACTAAAACAAAATGTGTTGTATATGATGTATTTTACGGCACAAAGTACTAGCTACGATAGATTTGTCCAGCAACCGTATAACATACTCTTGTATGACACATGCAGTTCATTCTGAAAAACCAAATCACTCGACTCTAGACTTCCGCATATGTGTGCCATTTCTCTTTCTACCAAACATAATAATAACTATTTTTACAGTGTATTTCGTGTCAGTGATACAACCTTGCTGCAAATTCAAGATGGCCAGCTCGTGCGATTTAGCCATATATTGAGTTAATTAAATGCAATGGTATTCAATAGGCAAAAAATGATGAATGATTACATTTTTGTAGGCGTACAATGCATAATTCAGAAACGATACATATCTGACTGTGATACATTTTCCTCATTAAATCTAGAATACTATGGTCGGTAACGCACAAATTAGACACTTACGATTGCATAGTGTATTAGTGAATAGTGACAAGTAAGTAACGATGTGTACAGAAATAAAAATCTTTTGGTATTTATCTGAGATTAGCTCGCCGACTTGAATAGTTTTTAAATGTTTCGCAAAACGGTTTGCATGTAAAAATATACCATTGACTCTAAGGTTCAACGAAAAGAATAAAATTAATAGCAATTACAGTGCTGTAGCCTAACCATACGTGTTTTCTTCTAGAATGCGATTTTGCTGAGACAGAATTCACTTCACGTTATCATATTTTCTCCTTGATCATCTCCAAATTTTAAATAAAAGCTAAATATCATGTACATAGTTCTTTTCATGAAACTAATTTTTCACAGCCCTTGTTATAGACGCATAAATACAGAGTTAACTGACATCTACACCCTCAATCCAGCACACACCCAAAGCATTGACACTAATGAAGACACAATTATTTTTGTATACCCATATGCATATGATTTTCAAAGATTTCATCGTTCTTTTATTGACGTTATTGATTTTCATTGCGTTCAGAATCTTGTTGTATCCAAAAATCTTCTGAGCCTAGACTTGAAAATATGGTTAGAGCAATAAAATTGAACGCATACAAAACGTATGATCTGATTATTCGTGGACGTAAATTGATGTTATCGATTAATTCATCGACTAAATAATCAGAGCCGTCAATATTAAATCTCTTTGATTCAAACAGTTTAATTCACCATGAGCTACGGTTTGTTTATTCTATAAAGTGCTTTGTAAACGATAGAATATCTACACTTAACGATCAACAAAATAATATCTAATTAATCTACACTCACATTTCACACCCTAATTTCTACTGTTTGGCCCTCTTCCCTATAGTGAAAGGTTTGGATTTAAACGCCGCCTGAGTTCAATTGATCACTGAAAATATAGATAGTTTCTTCATCTATCGAATACAGAGCTGCAAACTTTATTTTATCTATCTTTGACTAACCATTATTTCAGAAGTTTTAATTTCTCAAAAGATTAGTTGATTCAAAGTATGATCTTTTTGTCAGTTACACCCAAAAAGCAGATTGTGGAATGATTGAATGGGAATATGATTCGCGAATATCGAGAAAACATAACCAGGAACTTGACAATCAGTTTAGATGATAAATCTAGTGAAGCGAGATACTTGTGTTGTCCAATTTGCTCAATAAACAATTGAAATTTATTATTTTAAACACTTGTTGCTCGTATTAAAGCATTATAGGATAGTGCAAACGCTTGTTTTGTTTTGCATAGATGATTTCTGCTCAATCACAGATGAGACGGGCTGATGTTCTTTAAATAGTTGCTTCAGTGCTTTGGAAAATCGAATAAAATCATGTGGAGCCATTTCACTGCCAGCATATTTTTTAGCATAGACGTTTGAGTAGATCTTCATCTGTTTTTCCCGATCTTTTGTAAGTAATTGAGCATAGTCGAGCATTTCTTCACCGTTTTGAAAATCAAACAAATCACGAAGTTCTCTTGATATGTGATGATAGGCAAACCAGTTATGAATATCTTCGACTGACCAAGTTAATTGATCAAAAGGACGTAGATTCAGAGGGGCCAACAAAGTGACTGAAACAGTAGATATTGGCGGATCATGATGCTGTGGTGATGAAAGATGTTTGATAGCCATAGTTTTGCCTTGTGGCAGTGAACTTATCACAGTATTTACCAATTCAGTTAATTTACTTGAATCTGGCTGTAACAGATCTCGAAAACGAACATACTTCAAGCCAGACATACGGATACCTAATAAACAAATTTCTATTTTTAGAATACGAACAAACTGTGTTATTTTACATACCAAGCCAACCTTTCGGATCAAAGTTTCCCAGTAAGACTGGCAGTACTGGTTTCTTTAATGAATCAATGGCATAGACAAATTCTTGACGGCACGATTTACTTTCCAAATAGCTGTTAGAAAGAAGACAAACAATGACCGATGCACTTTCCATTCCTTCGGCAATCGACTCCCATAGATCAATAGCCGTCTGACAGTGTGTTCGATCTATCCATATATGAAATGTTTCACTACGTGTTGAAAATAATTCTAATATTCGGCTACAAAATGTATCATCAGCATGACAATAACTGATCATGATCCATGGTATATCAACTTCTTTGGATTTTTGTAGCAAAGGAAGCTCTGACAGAGTATCATTATATTTTTCTAAACATTCCGGCCGATCTGATTCATGACGCCTGTTAAGCTCTTCAATGTTTACATCAGCCCTATTGTCAAAATTGAGATTGTGTAAAATACCACGAGCAGCTTGTAGAGCTCCTTCCATCGAACGAGGTTTATATTGTTCAAGAATTTCTTGTTCCTTTTCATCGTCAAGTAAACTTCGAATTTTCTTGATTAATTGTTCATTATTTGCTAATTCCTGCGCATAGTTTGCTTGAAATGAAATACTCCAAAAAATGTTCAAGAGAGCAATCAGAGTAAATTGCTCTAAGTAACTAATTCCTTTGAAAGCATTTCCAAAAGTCATAAACAAGGAAATAAATAGACTAATCGTTGATACTATATCTGAAGGTGGATCTGTTTCTGCATGACAGAGAATATAGTCCAGTGTGCGCTCTTCTACTACAAACATTTTCACGAGAACACCCAATGGTTCACTAACATGAAAGCCATTACATCGAAAGCGATCACCCTTTGCAGCGCCTATCACTAATTGAAGCAATTGATTGAGTGTGGCATTCATACCTTTCTTATCCTGTTTGATTTGGTCTGGTGTTGATAGAAGTGCCAGAGTCATTATAGCAATGAGGTTACGCGCGTCAACAGTAGTAGTTTTTCTTTGAAATAGAATAGCAAATATTTAAGTTCGTTCAATGTTAAAGATAAAACATTAAGATCTACTTACATACTCTGGTATTGTTTGATTATTGGGATTGCTCCTAATTGATTGAGTTCATCTGCTCCATCATCATGGCGAGAAATATTATGAGCAATACTAATAAATGGTCGTCGGCCTTTATCATTTATCATAGGTGCTTGTCTAAGCCAACTTACGATTCTCTTTGACAAACCACATTTCAAAATTGTTGGGACTAGCACTGTTCGATCTGCTAGATTCCACAGAAGGGATAAAATTGATTCAATAAGACTGCCTAAAGAATGATCTTTCTGTATCGTGAAATCAGCATGTTCGGGCATAGCCCGATCAACGCGTTCAATCAAAACTATAATTAATTCGGTATGTTCAGCAATAAATTGTTGTTCATCGATTGTCGTAAAATTAACATATAGAGTACATTGGGCAGCGACGAATAGAAGTTTTTCAAGATGAGCGAAATATATTTGATTTCCATTCGATTTTTCCTTGTCTTCCGGCAATTGAAGAAATTCTTTAAAATGTGCTCGATTCAGTTGAGTAATGCAAGTGAAAAGGCTTTGTCTAGCGATGTCTACCTCGCGTTTTATTGAAAAAAAGTTGACCGATTGTAATAATGTGCCTAATACTTGGGTACATTTCTCATAACACAATGTTGCCTCATCGGGAGTGAATTGAAGAATATCAGCCCAAATAGGAAGAAATTCTGACCAGATCTTTTTCTTTGATTCAACCGTACTCTTAGGAGCAGATTTACATTGTTCTAATCGAGCAATAAGCTTTTCAAATGTTGAATCGATTGATTGATCAGGTAGGGATGCCGACACTTCGTTCGGTTGATGATTCTGCATGGATTTGAATTCAAGAATAATGAAAATGCGACAATATCGTCTTCTCCTACGTGTAGCGTAGTATAAACGCAGCCATGGTAACGGTATGAATGCAAACTGTTTGGAAGTTAACACATAAAGAAAGAAAGATGAAAACAAGTTGCGGTTTTTTCTTTCTTCTATTTACACTGTTAACAGAAGAAAAGAAAAGCAAATTAAGTCAATAAAGTTCTGCGTTGTGAAATTTCAAAACTATCTGTCTTATAAGGGTTTCATACGATAAACAACCTCTTAAAAGAAGAAGTCCGATGCACCACAATACGAAATTCATGATAAGAAAAACCTTAGTATAACGAATACATCTTTTTGCCAAAAATACTTTTTTAAAAATTCTCTCGATTGTCGCTACATGTTGTCCATTCGAGAACAAAAGTTCTGGTGGAATAATGAACAAAGTAATAGTTGATTTACTTATAATGAACATATATTCTTTTTGGAAGAAGAACAAAAAGCTTTTCAGCGCAGTGCCGTTTGAGCTAAAATGTGGAACTCACATATTTCGACCAGTTAGATGCTGATAAAATAGAAGTTGTATTATTCAGTGTAGTGAGATCATATTTTGTTCAAAAATAAGATAATAAAACCTTTTTAATATTTGAAGTTTGTTGGATCTATAAATAGGAAATATTACTAGAGAGAACATATGAAAAGGTTTTTGTTTAGAATATGTCAGCATGCTGAAGGGTTTAGTGGTTTCATTGAGAAATATTGTGAATGATAATAGTTTAAACAGTATTTAGGATATAGCTATCGATATGGTTGATCAAAGATGTTACATAGAATGTTGAGAAGTTTCCATTTTTCCGTATTACCAGGTGAGAAATTGATACATTTTTATGAACAAAAATTTGATAAAAGCTTCCCAGTAGATGGAAAAGTTGCGAATTCTAAATACACTAAAGTGGATTCAAGCTCTAGATGAACGTATTTGTGCGAGAAAAAAAGATTAAAATGTTCATCTGTTTATTGTAGGTTAATGAGTGTAATAATAGCAATAATACTAGCATAAACTAGTTGCTAGCTTCTGTAGCGGTAGCATGCACTCGTAGCTAACGTCTGTAGTAATAAAAATATACGTTATTGTCGTAACTATGGGTTATAGTAATAAAAACGGTAGATTTTAATGATTAATTAGAGATTAAATCCTAATTATAATGATTTCTAATTAGTGAAACTAGATTTCTATGACCGATGTGAGTAGTCGTGAACATAGACAATCGACCTGTCAGCCAAAACGGCTAACGATCAACCAACATGTCTAAAGTAGAAGTTGTTTTGTTTTCAAAACAAACTATACCATCTTGAAAAAGACACTTTTCTGCATAAGAAACTCTGTTTTGATTGGTTCGACAGCATAAGTAAGGCTGGGAAATATGACCGAAACAGATTATCGGCCACCAGGGTATAGGCTTGATTTGGAAGTGCTTCTCAAAATGTAAATGAGAGACACGGAAAGAAAGAGGTAAACATGAAGTGTCACGTAGCAGTTTGTAGAAAAATGTTTGGACTTTCTTTATGACTACATCGAATTTTTCCAGATCCATGTTCTGTTTAAAAAACATGAACCGGAAACCTTAATATTTTTCATGTCTGTACGCTACCAAACAGGGCTCTTAGTTTATCGCATCATGAGATTAAAACAGTTTTCTTAATTTTGATCAATGGCCTATCGTTAACTTTTTACGTGCTATTCGATGAGCGTATTGGTTTCTCTTCATTTTTTTTCTTTGACTCTGAAAACTGGGAAACGCACAGACATTTTTTCTGTTGTCACTCAACATAATCAATATGCACCTCGTAAAACTTCATATTCTACTATGAATTACTTTTTTTCGAATGAATACATTGGTAATTTGATGTGCTCTATACAATAGCGTCCTCAGAATTATCTGGATCGAAAATCTTGGATTGGCCATTTTTGGCTCTGATATTCAAATTTCCCACCCAAACGTGAGTTTCAAGCAAAATAAACTTCAGAATCATGAACAGCGTATCCGATTACCCATGATCAACTATTTTTAATAAATAAATACTTTGGTTGATATCAAATTCGCTCGGAACAGACATTTTTTCTAAAAAAATGTGTCTGTGCGTTACTTTCAATTTCGTTAATAACTCACTCATTTTGCATGATATTCATATTTTCTCTTCAGTAAAAGATACTCCTGAATCTAAGTTACAATACTCTTGCTAGCAAAATTCATTAGCATGAAGCAATTCGCAGCATTTATCAGTAATTACACACCGACTAGAAACCGAGAACCTTTTTTTGTCTGTACGCTTCAGGCTAGTATTTTGATCATAAAATTTGAACAGTTATATGGTTAATGCTCAAACTTTGAACTACTACAGAACTTGTTTACTTAAGTGTTTGTTGAAAATAACAACTGTTTTGCTCTACCCATTCTCTAGATACACTTGTTCAAAGTTTAAAAAATGTCTCTTCGTTACTTGCGTTTCGACTGCTGTACCAAAACATTTATAATTAGTGCATCTACCCTAGTGAAAGTACTCGTCCAGCGAGTATGAGTTTGTAGCATGAGTACTCAGATTACTCGAGTGAGTACTCGATAAATTTTGTGCTTAACTATACTTTTCGTGTTTTATGACGAGTACTCTAGTGAGTTTTCTCTCTAAGAATTACTCGTTTACGAAAATACGAGTACTCGAGGTAGTACTCATCGTCGTTTTTCGGAACATATTTAACAAAACATCTATGCACTAGGATGCATGAAAATAAAATAATATTGTATAATTAAGAACAACTATATAATGAATCGGAAATTACGGAAGAACTTTAAAAATAAATTTTCAATTTTAGCCTAGTCGAACATATTGTAAGCAAGATCTTATCAAGATCTTGGAAAGATAACTTGTATGTACATATCTTGGTTGTATCAGATAAATCTGTACTTAAGATCTTGGCAAGATCAAGGAAAAATATCGTTTACTATTATCTTCTCACAAGATTTTGAGCAAAACAGAAAGCGACATCATTAGTGTATTTACATGCTCTCTAGTAGTGTACTGCGTGATTGATATTTTTGATCACGATCCCGATCACGATCACGAATTTTACGTAGCATTGGGAGGAAAGAACATTTTTTCATCATTCGATGGTGCCATCTGTGAGTGTGTGTGAATCTCCTCGTCACATTCACACCCACACCCACACTCACACCCTCACCCCTCGATGTGATTATATTGTGCTTAGAGCATCATCAGTTCAGGCATAGTGCCCATACACTATTACGATTAATAAATCTTTGTTGTTATGTCGAATCGATATCGTTTTATTGTTTTCGCTCATCTGAAGTTCTCAGTGAATTCATATTTCAATTTTTCCAGTAGTAGTTGTTTATCTTCAGACTTACGCAGCGTATAAAGGTGCTTTTTTTTAAAGAACTTTGCACATCTGACATCAAGGTAGCATTCATTGTATAAAATACTGAAGTTGAAATTTTTTCAATGTAGACAACAGTATACTGTTTTCAGACATAAAAAATACACGTTTTAGAAATCTATTTGTTGCCTGAAAATAAATGATACAAATATCACCAATCAACTAAAGGTTACACAAACGTAGAGAATAAGACAGATGGAACCGATATCGTTGGTCAAAAATTCAGACCGCTGAAATCTATGTTGTATATATCTAAAGCTCATGAGATGCTTATAATTCGAATTCGAATATAAATGAAGGTTCAACTACACAATATCAATTCGAAAATAAAAAAAATCCGGCACTCATATAGCTACAGCAAAAAGCAAAAGATAAAATTTTATCCTAAATATAAATTTTATAATTCAAACTTTAGCTATCATATAAGTGAGGCAAAAAAGCAAAAGTTTAAATTTTATCCTATTTATAAATATTATAATTCGAATTGAAGCATCGCTGGATGGCATTTCAGAAAGTGCAAATTTTAAAGTGCGCTTGCTCGACTATTGAGCCAGGTCAGAACCTGTACATTGGCAAAACTTTGTATAATCAACAACACCACATCCGACACTCTTCTAACAGAATAATGAAACTGTTTAGTAAAGGATAACTGATACATATTGTCAACACCCACACCCACCCTCATCACATTCACTGATAGCCCTAGAGAGGAAGATCAGAGTAGGTATCACATACGCACCTTCCAAAATGGCTGCACGTTTTCACCTAGAATCAGAAGTTACCCCGAGGATGTTAGTTAACTCTGTAGGAAGCGAGTCCCACACTGAGGTATGCTTCGAGGATCCGCAGGAATACTTATTGGAACGGCTGATATGTTTTTATCATCGTTAGGTATCCTTAGAGCATGCTCAGAAATGCTTCTAGCATGCTCAGATATTCTTCTAACAATCTCAGATATCCTTCTAGCATGCTCAGGTATGCTGCAAGCAATCTCAGGAGTGTAACTAGCAATCATGGGAATGCTATTAGGAACCTCCAGTATGCTACTATCATCCTCGGAAGTGTTACTAGCAATCTCACGAATACTCAAAGTCATCTCAATAATGCAAAAAGTGAACGCAGGCAGCTCGGTAGCATTCTGATATGAGTTGCTGGAAACTGACGTGTGATCGCAGCATAGTTATTCGAGATAGCTTACTCATTACGTGCGATGACAATGACCACTCTTGCTGGAAAAGAGTATCGGTATATTGCGCAACTGAGGGTGCCGCGAAGGGACTGGTGGGTGTGCCGGAGGCATGTGTAACGGTGGATACAGCGACGTATTTCGTGAGTGTGCGAGTGGACTTATATGACAGCCTCAATTCGAATTATAAAGTTTATAAATACGATAAAATTTATCTTTATCTTTTGCCTGTACACAATAGGATTTTCGGAAAATTTCATTTATATTCGAAGTCGAATTAGGCAGCTACTCATAAAGCTTGACCATCTTGAATATTTTGTTGAATATGTTGTGATACATTAATTGCACGATCAGATAATTCCTTTGGTGTTT